TAGGGTCTAAAATTAAGATTCCAACGTTTTTACTATTCTATCCTAATAATTAATTCTGTTTTTTTTTCAATAGATATTACACATAATTTGTTTGCATAATTTCTCAATTTATCGATTAGATGTTATTCTTAATCCAAATTAATCCAAAATTAAGTTTGCACGGCTCAATCTGTGAATACATTCAGTGTACATGTACACTTGTAATTGATATATATATATATTGTAAGTCGACATTACAGTCCTTCACAACTCCACTACTGAATATACGCCTCCGAGGTACCTGCATCCATCGAACTCTTGCATTTTTTACCAGGTCGTCACTCCATATAGTGAGGGGCGGCCCTAAACTTTAGCTACCAGTACGAGGCTGTCACTCGAGAACTTTTCTTGGTATTGTAAGTGTACTTGTTAAATAAATAAATAAGCTTTCAAAGCAATTTTGCAAACATAATTTTGGATTAATTTGGAGTAAGAATAACATCTAATGCAAACAAATGATGTGTCTAAACAAGAAAAGATCTATTGAAAAAAAGACAGTATCAAATATTAGGATAGAATATAGTAACTATTACTTCAAATATCACAAAGCATTTTATTTAAAATTTTCTGTCTCTATGGATATTTTAAGAAAGTATAAAATAAATTCTATTCTGAAATCATTCAGCATCATGAAAGCTCGTTTGTTGATGTACTGAGAAAAATCTCTCAAATTGTCACCTCTGATGCCTAAGATGGAATGCCTCATAGCCTGTAATTTTAATTGCTCTCCCTTCAGACTGGAATATAATAATACAAGCACTGTTATTCGGTAGAAATGGTTAAGAGGGTGGTATCTACCCACACGGACTCCGAACAGAAAAGGAGTCCCGCCATCTAGTATAAGTTATAATGAAAATCACAGAATACATTTATTCTGTAAAAAATCTATCCACACAGGCTCCAAAGAGAAAAACAGTCCCGCCATCTAGTATAAGTTATAATAGAAATCACAGAATACATTTATTCTATAAAAAATCTACCCATACGGACTCCGAAGAGAAAAAGAGTCCCGCCATCTAGTATAAGTTATAATGGAAATCACAGAATACATTTTTTCTATAAAAAAATCTACCCACATGGACTCCAAAGAGAAAAACAGTCCAGCCATCTAGTATAAGTTATAATGGAAATCACAGAATACATTTTTTCTATAAAAAAATCTACCCACACGGACTCCAAAGAGAAAAACAGTCCCGCCATCTAGTATAAGTTATAATAGAAATCACAGAATACATTTATTCTATAAAAAATCTACCCATACGGACTCCGAAGAGAAAAAGATTCCCGCCATCTAGTATAAGTTATAATGGAAATCACAGAATACATTTTTTCTATAAAAAAATCTACCCACACGGACTCCAAAGAGAAAAACCCAGCGTTCCCAACCCGGAAGATCCCAGCGTTGTTGCCGATTCTGTTGCTGATGTGGTACTTCAGGGTATGGAACTTTTTATTCCATCCTCTGTGGTGCCCATCGGAGGCAGATCCCAGCCATGGTTTGGTCGCTCCTGTAAAATAGCATCACGCTATAAGCAGGAGTGCTACCGGGCCTGGGCTGACGCATCAACGTCTCGGGATTTAAACACCAGCGCACTTAAAAAGAAGTATAATTCCGCCTCCAGGTCCTTCAAAAGCGTCATTGCCAAGGCAAGGTCTGAGCACATCGGCAGAATTGGCGAGAAGCTAGTTCGCCTTCCTTCGGGAACCCGTGCATTCTGGTCTCTCGCCAAGGCTGTCCAAGGGAACTTCTGTCAGCCATCCCTCCCATCTCTGCACAGAGAGGACGACTCACTGGCCCATGCCGCAAAAGAGAAAGCCGATCTGTTGTGCTCTCTTTTTGCGTCCAACTCGACTCTAGATGACGGGGGGAACACACCGCCGACCATCCCGCGATGTGAGTGCTCCATGCCGGATGTGCGATTTACACAGCGCTCGGTTCGCAAAGCACTCTTCTCCCTGGACGTCAGCAAGTCGAGTGGGCCCGATGGAGTCCCTCCCATTGTGCTGAAGACGTGTGCTCCGGAGTTGGCACCGGTTTTAACGCGTCTTTTCCGGTACTCCTACTCCCAAGGCGTAGTCCCGAATTCATGGAAGACAGCTTTGGTCCACCCGATCCCTAAAAAAGGCGACCGCTCAGACCCGTCCAACTACAGGCCTATCGCCATCACCTCCTTGTTCTCCAAAATAATGGAATCCATTATAAACTGCCAGCTCATGAGGTACCTTGAGGATCACCAGCTGATCAGTGACCGTCAGTACGGTTTTCGTCGGGGTCGATCAGCAGGTGATCTTTTAGTTTACTTAACTCATAGATGGGCGGAGGCAGTAGAGTCCAAGGGGGAGGCATTGGCCGTTAGTTTGGACATAGCGAAGGCCTTCGATCGGGTCTGGCACAAGGCGCTTCTTTCGAAGCTTCCTTCCTATGGGCTTCCCGAGAAATTGTGCAAATGGATCACCAGTTTCCTTGCTGATCGGAGCATCAAGGTCGTAGTAGACGGTGCATGCTCTGATTACAAGCCTATCAACGCTGGTGTTCCACAAGGCTGCGTGCTATCACCAACGCTGTTTCTCCTGCATATCAATGATATGCTGCTAACTGGTAGCATTCATTGCTATGCAGACGACAGCACTGGGGATGACTTATATACAGGCCGTGCCAATATTTCTCGGGAAAACGTCGCCGAGTACCGGGACAAACTTGTGTCTGAAGTCGAGTCTTTGCTTAACAAAGTCTCGGATTGGGGCCGACTAAATCTAGTCCAGTTCAATCCCCAGAAGACACAAGTTTGCGCGTTTACCGCTAAAAAGAACCCCTTTGTCGTATCTCCTCAGTTTCAAGGCACTCCCCTTGCTGCCTCAGCCAGTATCGGAATCCTTGGCGTCGACATATCGAATAGCGTGCAGTTTCGTGGTCACTTGGAAGGGAAGGCCAAATTGGCCTCTAAAAAGCTTGGCGTGCTCAGCAGAGCGAGACAGTATTTCATGCCGGCACATCGCTTGCAACTTTACAAAGCGCAAGTTCGGCCCCACATGGAATACTGTTCTCATCTCTGGGCCGGGGCACCCCAGTGCCAGCTCCTTCCACTTGACCGCATCCAGCGCAGAGCGATTCGAATCGTCGACGACCGAGTTCTTTCCGATCGGCTCGATACACTGGCACTGCGTAGAGATGTTGCATCTCTTTGCGTATTTTATCGCATCTATCACGGGGAGTGCTCTGAGGAATTGTTCGGACTAATTCCAGCCGCTCAATTTCACCATCGCACGTCGCGACAAAACTCGCGTTACCATCCATACCATCTGGATGATTGGCGGTCCACCACTGTGCGATTTAGAAGAAGTTTTCTCCCTCGCACAACTTCTTTGTGGAATCAATTACCACCAGCGAATTTTCCGAACCGATACGACTTAGGAACCTTCAAGAAAAGAGCTTACACCTTTCTAAAAGGCCGGCAACGCATCTGCAATTCCCCTGGTGTTGCGGTTGTTCATGGGCGGCGGTAGTCACTTAACATCAGGTGAGCCGCATGCTCGTTTGCCCCCTATTCTATAAAAAAAAAAAAAAAAAAAAAAAAAAAACAGTCCAGCCATCTAGTATAAGTTATAATGGAAATCACAGAATACATTTATTCTATAAAAAAAATCTACCCATACGGACTCCGAAGAGAAAAACAGTCCCGCCATCTAGTATAAGTTATAATGGAAATCACAGAATGCATTTTATTCTATAAAAATCTACCCACACGGACTCCCAAAGAGAAAAAGAGTCCCGCCATCTAGTATAAGTTATAATGGAAATCACAGAATACATTTATTCTTTAAAAAAAATCTATCTACACGGACTCCGAACAGAAAAGGCGTCCCGCCATCTAGTATAAGTTATAATGGTTGATACATGTAAATGTTTTAAAGTATATATGAATAATATCTATAAGAAAATAATTGATATCTAAATATAAAATATCCCGTGTAGTGGCAGTGTAAGATTACCATATTTCGTCCCGTGGGTGTTATAAGAGCGACAAAGGGAAACTGAAACAGATGAGCAGCAACATCTTTCTCATAACAACGCAATATAATTTAAAAAAAAATGTAGTTGCCAACCCGCCAGCTAAGCGTGGCAATTATGACAATATCCCCCCTATGGTTCTTTCTACAGTGGCCTATATATATTATAGGCGGTGACGGATGAATTAAAATATAATCTATAATATAAAAATAAATCGCTGAATGTGTTGCTAAGCGCAAATCTCGGGAGCAGCTGAACCGATTTCGCTAATTCTTTTTTTATAATATTCCTTGAAGTACAAAGATGGTTTTTACGGAGAGAAAAATTCAAAAAAATGCCTGAAAAAGTCTAAAAACAACACTTTTCTATATTCCCATACAAAAGATTCGTATTCGTAATACTTAAAAGTCAACTTGAACTTTAACACCATACCATAAAGTTTCAGTTTAGTTTAAGGAAGGAAGGTTCCGGGAAGGCAAAACAATTGAGTGACGTTAGTTTCGTATAAATATTAATGTCAATATTTGTCAATATTTATACACACTGGCAGATAGCTGATGTTATAAGGAATAACTTGGGCTGCTTTTATTTTAGGATTCAAAAAACTGAAAAATAACTCAACGCGGGCGAAGTGGCGGGGAACAGCTAGAAATCACATAAAAAACAGAAAATTCAATTAAATAAATTGGCTTAATATATGATATAAAATAATATAGCCTTTTACAAAGCTTTGTACATTATATTTAAATTGTATTTATGTTGCATGTTACATGGTGTGTGCAATAAACAATAATGAAAAGTAATTTATTAATCTGTATTTTTATAAATAATTTTTTTCTAAATTTGAATTACTGTCTAGATAAATTTTATTTAATCTGTGTTGCATGTTGCATGTAACACAAATATTAATTGACATCCGCATCACAAATTTTACGAAACTGCATTTACAAGAATGTTTTCAAAATTTCTAAAACCCGCCTTTCAAATCCGTCTTGGTGCATCACTGTTACAACGTAAAAAAGTGTTTCCGCAACTCATCGTAGTGAGACCCGCTGGAGAAATGCTACCACCATCCCAGTATGATATACCAATACCCAGAAAGCTGCGGCTCAGTTACGCCTTAAAGGAATACTGGGAGATCATTCCTTTGTTCTCGGTGACGATGACGGCTTTGTTTTTCATGTTTGCGTCTATTGCTTGGGCTTGCAAAAATAAGGTTAGTCAGTTGAAGGTCGTTGAAGGTTTTTTGAATAAAATAAGTTATAATATACAGGAAATGTATAGGCAGAACGTAAGAAAAAGTTAAGTAATAATAATTAACCAATTTTCGTAATTTGGATAAACACTTGTACTAGTTTCACAATATTCGTTATATTTTATCAAATTTTATTATATACAATATTAAAAAACTATAATAATAATAACAAACTAAAACTAGAAATGTAGTCCTACTCCCCGCGGTATTGTGCCAAGAACGCTGGCTGCGTTTCCCCGCTGAATGGCTATACTTAGCCTTTGAGCGAGAAAAGAACCAGCCCTCTTATCACCAGCAGCAACGACCAGTCGCGGATGGAGTTCCTTTAGGAACTTCACCACACGTGGACCCCACGGACCAATAGTCTCTATACTAATTATTATCAGGGTATATAAGAATTATTATTGTTATTCAATTATATAAGAATAATTGTTCTTACACATACACATACACTGATGATGCCATAAGGCGAAACCGGTCCGTTTTTATAATTAGTATATTATTAATCTACTTAAATAAAATGAGATGAGACGTTTGTAGTTGTTTACGAAAAACTATTAGATAGATTTCAATTAGGTTTTCTAAGTTTTATTTCTTAGACACTTGGCACTTATCTAAAAAAATACTGCGATATATTCATTTCATCATCATCATTATCATCATTACAGCCCTTCACAAGTCCACTGCTGAACATAGGCCTCCCCAAAAGAATGCCACAAAGCACGGTCCTGAGCCACCTGCATCCATCGACTTCCTGCATGTCTTACCAGATCGTCACTCCATCTCGTGGGGGGACGCCCTACACTTCGCCTACCGGTACGAGGCTGCCACTCGAGAACCTTTCTTCCCCATCGGTTGTCGGTTCTTCGAGCTATATGGCCGGCCCACTGCCACATATATATTCATTTGATATATTCATTTAATATAAATTTATTAAAGTTTTGAAAAACAACGATTTTTGTACGGGGTTTTTCACACGGTCAACTGTACACCGCTTGCTCTCGCATTATTAAACCAGTTTACATACTTTAGCTGCAAACGCAGCAACGAATATAATTTTTTTTTAAATTGTCTCTTTGATGTTTTTTCCTTTGCACATACGAAAACTTTATTAATATATTGTTGCGCGCCACTATTAATGTCTTGTACATGGCAACACTAGTTACCACTAGCGCCCTCTAGAATCGAGCAGCAGAACGAGGAGAGTCAAGATCCTTCTAGAAATTTCGGGACCGATATGTACTCGAACATACTAGATGTTTCTACAGTAGAAGGTTCTGGAAACTATCTGAGGCCCTATATAAAGCCGGTATAGATCGCGACCGAGTGAGTATTGAATTGGCGATACAAGAATTAATATTTCGAAGCGAAATAACTGCTAACTAAATTGATCAGTAGTACAATTGTGTTTTATTATTAGTGTGGTTTTAGATTGTAATTAGTGTTCGTAATTAAAGTGTCAATTTTGGTAATTCAATCGGCGGTTTTTAATTGTCTCGAACCCCAAGCTTGTAACAATATCAAGCAATATGGACGAAGTCGCGGGTATCAGATAGCTTAAAATAAATATTGTAATTGACTAGTACAAGCGTTTCACCAAAAGACCACAATCGCAAGTATAAATTGATATAAGTATAAATTAATAATGAAATAATCTGCTTCATTCCCCTTCAGCTTAGAGGGCGTTCCCACGACACGCACCCGCTACGCGCACGCCACGCGCGTCAGCACCCGCGTCTAACTCACTTTAAAATTCGTTGCATATAATTTGAGTATTATGTCAAATGACAAAGCGTCTCCCACACAGACGTGACTTGCGGTAGCGGCCGCGGTGGCGGCCAGTTGTATTCGCTTGCAATGTAAGTGAGTCTGTAAACTCGTGCGGCCATCGCGCAGCCTGCCAGCGGCTGGCCGCGGCCGCATGCTCCGCCCCATTTGCCAACGCGTGTGTGTTAGCGAGTACGCGGTCAGTCAATGGCCGCAGTGCGGCCAGTTGTAAATTTTTACAACAGGCCGCGTGTACCGCGTGAAAAATGGTGCTAAATACAGAGGTTTTAATAGAAACAGTGCAAAATTATCCTGTACTTTATGGTAATTCGCATCGTGATCACAAAAGCATTAGGATTAAAAACAAAATATATGATAATATTGCTGAATATAATAAGACTTCGTCACGGTTTGTCATGTTTACTGACGTCCGATCGTAGCACAGACACCACAGCGAATGGCGCTTCAGGCCGCCATTTGGCCCGCGGTGGTGTGTTGTTACAGCGGCTGCATCCGCGGCCCGCGGTAAGCCGCCACCGCAAGTCGCTTGTGTGTGGGAGACGCTTAAATCTGAAATTGTATAAAAAGATCGCGTGCGGGGTGAGCGCGGGATCAGGGCGGAGCGGAAACGGGGCGGGCGCGTGGCGTGGGCGAGGCGTGTGCGGTTGAACGTCGATAAATGCAATTTCAGATTTATTGATTTGTCATAAGACTCAAATTATATGCAACGAATTTCAAAGTGAGTTAGACGCGGGTGCTACGCGCGTGGCGTGCGCGCAGCGTGTGCGTGTCGTCGGAACGCGCCCTTAGACATAATACTCTACGGTAAATTTTTTTTTTAAGTTTGCTAAAAATAATATAGACATTTTATTTCAATCAGGTGGACGTTGTGTACAAGACCCGCAGTCGAGAGAATATATCTCGCACGATGGATCTTAGGAACCCGACCGTGCATAAATTGATCACTATCAATCAGCGCTACGAGCCCTGGCCCGAGATGCAAGACGTACTGGACAAAATGGTTATCGCAGAGAAGCGAGCGCTCGCTCGATTGCAAGCTTGCAATCATGCATAGAAAATATTAGATTTAAACGCAAGTGAACATTTTGTACGTACTTGAATAATAACTTTATAATTATGATTTCTGATATTTTTCGTTATTTTTATATCGCGTGACAAATTATTTGATATCTGTTGTAATTGTTATTAAAATGTTGCTAGAAATGTTCCTTTTTTATTATGAGGTAGGTACACTGTAAGTTATATTATTTAGTTGCAATTTTTTGTTTAATAAAATTATTACTTAAAGGTATAAAGTCACACTAAGCTTTTATTTAAATAAAAATTGCTAAAGTTTTTTTTAATCAGCTCTCGCCTAACTGACTTTAAGAATCCATAAATGTACGGCATATAATATGTGTCCCACTCCTGGATGCAGGCCACCTCTCATTCCTGGTAGGATTTCAGGCCAAGGAAGTGTCAGTCGCGCTGGCCCAAAGTGTATAGAAATCAATAGTTTTGCACATGGTAGCTATGCTACAGCTATATTATGGTTGTTGTATTGTCGGCTTGACCGGGATAGCACTACCCTCTCACAGAATACCATGGTAAAATAGCAACTTAATGCTGCTGTGTTTCGTATACTGAATGTATTATTATTATTATTATTTTTAAAACGTTACCCCCACACTAGGATTTTCTCCTGTGTCGTGGAGGCAGTTTACAAACATAAATTGCACAAGGACAAACGTCCAGACCCGGAACAATTATTTGTAAGCCATGCAAATACTTGTTCCGTGCGGGATTCGAACCCGCTGCTCCCAGCGCAACAACTGATTGCTAAGCCACTGCGCCACGGAGCCGTCAATGTAGAGAATCGAAGATCCTTTTTACTGGAAACAAGGCATTCCATCATAGTCCTCAGGGGTGATAACACATCTGCATTTAGATTCTTATTCGAGGGTAACTGTAAATGTCAATTGGTCATTGCATCCACTTACTATCAGGTGGACTGTGTGCTAAATTCTCACCCTTATTCTATAAAAAAGTATACTAAGGTCAAAAATGTAAGAGACCATCCATAAAATACGTCACTCTATGGTTTTTTGATCCCCCCACTCGTCTATGTCCAGGTGGTCACACTTGTGAAACCGCATCCCCTGGTGTGACGTCACATATTTTACAATTTTATATTTCAGAAGTAATTGAATTAAAACAGCAGTTTTTGCAAACCCTCAGTAACCTCAGAAACCTTGCCGTATGGTGGGGGCAAAAGTGAAACCATAACCCCAATTTCCCGTGGGTTTCCTAAGAGACGACTATGGAAAATGTTCAAGAAATCTTATGGCATCTAATACAAGGCGATAAAGTGATCCCGCTAACGTCTATTGTAAAATACCCGAGACCGACGACGGGCAGCAGCGTCAAGGTGGCGAGATGTCTAGCTATTATCGTCAATACGCCTCCCAAGTGCAACGAGGCAAATTCTACCTACCTTGACGGCTCCGTGCCGCAGTGGCTTAGCAATGAGTTGCAGTGCTAAGCTAACTGGCCTACAAATAATTGGTCCGGGTCTGGATGTTGGTCCTTGTAAAATTTATCTATGTAAACTGCCCCCACGATACAGGAGAAAATCGAGATTGATAGATTTTTTGAGACCGGTCACCGTCGGTCCTCCAGACCGACGGTGACCGGTCTCAACGGAGCCTAGCTGTCAGAACAGAACAGCTTAGCCTAGCAGAACAGGATTATAGTGCTCGAATGTATATACGCACAGGTACACTTTCTATTTCCCCACTGGCCCGACCTGAGAGAGATTATGCGCAGGATCAACGACTTCACGTGCTTTCCAAAGCACGGACGTGAAACTCCGCCAACTTCCTGACTCCGGGTGTCTACTGAGAATCTCTTATAGAAAAAGCCAATGATTGATTTTGGCCCAACCTGGGATAGTAACCCGGGTTTTATGATCTGCCACATTTACGACTATTAGACGAACGAGGAATAGAATAGAATATAATAGAATAATTTTTTATTCAATATATATTACATGTGTAATTCTTACTGAAAGTAATTTTTTATTTTACGACTGGTTCGAAAAAACCCTCTGTCCTGGGAAGAACCAACAAGAAACCCAGCGGGACTTTTTTTAAAAATAAATGTTACAATATAAATGATTACGAACTATTTACAAAATTTATTTTAGAAACTGCTTGGAAGCGACCACCTCATTCCCAGGGGTTATTATCAACCATGTATTCATTTATACTATAATAACCCTTTTTATACAGTTTCAGTTTAATAAAACATTTAAACTTGGTAATTGAGAGAACCTGTACACTTTCCGGGACCTTGTTGTAATAGCGTATACATTGCCCCAAGAATGAATTACTGACTCTGTGGAGTCGAGAAAGTGGCATCACTAGCTTGTGTTTGTTCCTAGTGTTTACAGAAGCCAGCCACTAACCACTTAATACGTGTAAATCAGCCTAAAGGGCTCGAGTGGACGGCGCCGTAGCCACCCAGATATCGCTTGATTTTACCATATCACTGTACATTTTTAGTAATAGATTGCTGGCCACGAACAACACGCGGTAGGTTTTGATGAGCATGTTGACTTTAACTAAACCAAATGATTAAAAATGTTGTACAACCGACTTCAATATAAATAAAATGAAAACATCATCAATGTAGTCGCAAGTAATTTAATACGCATTATTAAGAATAACTCAAAAACTGCAGGTCAGATCTTGATCAATTTTTTATGGGATCACATGAGAAGCATCAGCTTTCAAATGAAAATAGAATCATCAAAATAGATTAACCTAGAAAAAAGTTTAGAGGCACATAAAATACAGTCGGAATGAGAACCTCCTCCTTTTTTTGAAGTCGGTTGACATAAAATTAGGTGCTTGCACTCCATATGTACAGAAATTTGCAAAATCGAAGTAAGAAGTCTAGTTGAAGCTTTTGGGTAAATCTTATTTCCATGCAAAGAGAACCACATCTACGAAAAAATGAGCGCAAGTTTTGTGATTATCTTCGGATGAATATCAAGACATTTGACAAATTATTAGATACAAAGTGTTGAAATTTCAAGGTTAAATTATAATAAAGAACTTGAGCAGTATAAATCACCGAACCTAATTAATGGATTTGGCGTGCCACAGGGCAGTGTACTTGGTCCACTTTTGTTCTTATTTTATATAAATGATATCTCTTATGTAACGAATAATTTATTTACTTTATTTGTAGATGATATTGCTATGCTAATGACATGTAACAAAAATCTGATATTGGTTAATTTGTAAATGACATTAATAATTCTTTGAAATTTATAATTGAATGGTTAGAACATAATAATTTACACATAAATATAAGTAAAACCAAGTTAATACAATTTTTTAATAAAAAAATAATGAAATAAAGCTAAATATTGTATACAATGGCGAACAAATAAAACAAGTACAAGAACTTTCCTTTCTCAGTATACATATAGATACATTTTGTAACCGGAAAGCTCACATAGAAAAAATATGTAATAAACTTATCCGCTTTGTTTACATATTACGGAACTTTCAAGAACACAGCGCTTAAACTTATTATTTCATATTTAAGTAATAGAAAACAGAAGGTTATTATCAATGGTAAAAGTTCTTCCGGGTCACCTGTACTAATGGGTGTACCTCAGGGCTCGATTCTCGGCCCATTCCTGTTTCTGGTGTATATTAATGACTTACCTCACCTTGTAGGGGATAGTCATGATATAGTATTATTTGCTGATGATACTTCCTTGATTTTTAAATTTAAATGTGACGAAGTGAATAATGCTATATCAAAATTAGTGCATTGGTTTAACGTTAATAATCTGCATTTGAACGGAAATAAAACTAATTGTGTTAAATTTACAACAACGAATGTTCAAAATCTGAATACCAATGTGTTTTTAAATGGGGAGGAATTGAGCCCTGTTGTATCCACTGTTTTTCTTGGCATCACTCTTGACGCAAAGCTCCAGTCGGGCCCCCATATATCCAAATTAGCAAGCAGACTAAGTTCTGCAGCCTATGCTGTAAAAAAGATTAGAGGTCTCACTAGTGTCGAGACAGCTAGATTAGTTTATTTCAGTTATTTTCATAGCATAATGTCTTATGTGATTTTGCTATGGGGAAATGCGGCTGATTCAGAAACTATTTTTGTTTTACAGAAGAGGGCCATTAGAGCTATTTACAATCTAAAACCGAGAGAGTCTCTTAGAGATAAATTCAAAGAAATTAATATATTAACTTTGGCCTCTCAGTATATTTACGAAAATTTAATGTATGTTCACAAAAACAAAGATAGTTTTAGTAAAAGAAGTGATATACATTCTGTAAACACTAGGAACAAACACAAGCTAGTGACACCAGTTTCTCGACTCCACAGAGTCAGTAATTCATTCTTGGGGCAATGTATACGCTATTACAACAAGGTCCCGGAAAGTGTACAGGTTCTCTCTATTACCAAGTTTAAATGTTTTATTAAGCTGAAACTGTATAAAAAGGGTTATTATAGTATAAATGAATACATGGTTGATAATAACCCCTGGGAATGAGGTGATCGCTTCCAAGCAGTTTCTAAAATAAATTTTGTAAATAGTTCGTAATCATTTATATTGTAAAATTTATTTTAAAAAAAAAGTCCCGCTGGGTTTCTTGCTGGTTCTTCCCAGGACAGAGGGTTTTTTCGAACCAGTGGTAAAGTAAAAAATGACTTTCAATAAGAATTACACATGTAATGTATATTGAATAAAAAATATTCTATTCTATTCTATTCTATTCTATTTACAAAGACGGCATCGCAATCAACAGCTCTTATGGCGTATTACGGATACGTTTATTGTATACTTCTGGTTTAAGAAATTTATTTCTCATAAGAATAAAACATTCATTTGTCTGAGAAATACAAGATTGACTTAAAATAGATACGTATGTTTACATCTGAACAAATGCTGGAGCGACATTATTTTATTATTGAGTGATCACTATTTTAAGAACATTGACAATTACATTTCAAATTCAGATTAACATAAAATAA